AAAAAAAAAAAAAAAAAATCCTCTCCTACCGGGATGGCTCCTCTGCTTGCTTTGGCATTGCCCCACAGAGGGATTCAAGGGAGGCCCTCAGAGGTCCTGGAGCTTTCAACATTCCCACATCACCACCGCCAACTTCCTAAAAGGCAGTCTGAAGAAATGGCAATAATAGACACGGATTACCTCCCTTCCTCAGTGGACTTCAGGGCTAATTCTCTTAAATGCTGCCTATAGCTCTATTAACCTGTCACCCTGTAGGAGCTCAGACCTCCGGGTTGGTTCCTCATTACCGAGACTTACCCACGTAAGGCTGGCTACGCTCCTCAGCCTTACTCAAGCTCCCAGCTATTCTAGATCCCCCCCAGATGTGTTCTGGAACCTGTGATCTGGTGACTTTGTCCAAGAATGGCTGCAAACGCACGATATTGGACTCCTTACATTTGTGGTCATTTGATAGTTAACTGCGCATCTTTGAAGGTTCTAAACAATGACCTGACATAAGCCAGTCTTTGGTGAGGCTTTGGTGCGTAGGATTAGACGAGGACAGGAAAGAGGGAAGAGCAGAGTGTGGGTATGTGCGTGTGCAGTTATTACAGCCACCCGTTTTGCGGTACGTGAGATGGTGCTGTGGCTATAAAGGAAGGGACCGATGTGAAAGGGGCAAAACTTGGTGCCTCACAATAAGATAAGCAATGGCCTGGTGTCCGAACACTGGAGATTCCAGGGCATGCTGCCGCTGCAGCTTTGCCCCACCTGTAAGGTGGGAATGGCAGTACCCCGCAGGGTTACGGGGAGCGAAGGGCCGCGCCAGCAGCGCGCTCGGAACGGCGTCTGCAACAGGGTAAGCGCGCCAACGCTGTTTTCGCCTCTATTAAGAAAAAAGCGGGAGAGAGAAGACCGTCTATATCCCAGTGGTTGCCAGTGCGTAGCGAGGCTAAGTAGCCGGCATGCAGTAAGCACTGAACCCGACCGTCACCTCCCCTGGCTCCTGCTCAGAGAGACCCGCGCAGGCCGCCGGGGAGCCGGAGCTCTCCCTCCTCTGCTCCCAGGGCACCCCCACCCCGCATTCCCCCAGCAGAGGCAGCGCACTGTTGCCGGGGCTCGGGCACCGCCCAACTCCAGTGCGGGCCAATGGCAAGGCGGCCCTAGCTCCGCCCTGCTCGAGAATCGACCAATGGCGAGACGGCGCGGGCACCGCCCTGATCAGGCGCCGGCCAATAGCGGCATGGCCCGGTACGAGGCCGCCCTCAGGCCGGCGGGGAGGCGGGGAGGCGGTCACCGGCTCCGCCCCGCTCCCCTCTGACCCGGTGTCTCGTTTCTCCGTCTTCCTGTTCCAAACCACGTGGACGCGCGGGGGGCTGCGGGGCTGCAGGAGGGAACCCCGGTCGCTACTGCCGCTGTCGCCGCCGCCACCGGGGTTGCGATCCCGCGCCTGTCTGAAGTAGCCGCACCCCGGCCGCCCACGCCTTGCGCAGAGCGCGCACATGGCGACTTCGGCGCACTCGCTCAGCTACGCGGGCTGCAACTTCTTGCGCCAGCGTCTGATTCTGTCGACTCTGAGCGGTCGCCCGGTCAAAATCCGAAAGATCCGGGCCAGAGACGACAACCCGGGCCTCCGAGGTAATTCGGGACTGGCAGTGCGCGGGGTGGGCGCGGGAGCCAGGGGGAGACTGCGCTGATGTCCTGGGGGCTGGCGCGCGGGAGCCGCGGGTTTCCGCGGGCGCTCCGGGGAGGGCCGGTGGCACGTCGCCCCCCTGCCCGAAGGCGCCCGAGGCGGTGGCGGAGGCGGGGTCTGCCCGGAGGGGTGAGCTCGGCTGCGCGCCGCGCTCCGCGTCTCCGGGGCGCTGGTAGTAAACAGCTACACGTTTTCCAGCGTTACGTGTTGCAGCAAATCCCAGGGTTCACCCCCTCGCTTGTCTTCCGACCCTCTTGCTCTCTCCATACACCTCTCAAAGGAGAAAAACAGTTTGTAGGATCGAAATGCGGTGAATGGGCAGATGTAAAGATGGAGGGAGATTTGGAGAGAAAAGTACCACTGGTTGGTACCGTGCCCTGTCCCAAAACAGGTCTCGGACGCTGCCGCCCCCTTGGACAGCGGCTGTTCCTGTCGCCATGATTTCTCGGCTGTCCTCACACCTCCCCTTGGCTGTGGATTAAAGAATCTTTAAAAATTCTATCTGTTTTCAGTCGTGACTGTGATTGATGTGCACAGGACAGGAGCTTTGAGATAAATTTTAAGCAGTCACGGGCCTAATTGCCTTAACTTGAGTAAAGTGTTGGTGACAAGCGCTAAACTACAGGCTTCCAAGCTCCCTTTTTGCCTTACCAAGGTAGATAGATTAAAAGTAGGCCCCATTTAAACACACATAGATTAAATGGCTCCGATTTTCAGCTGGTCCCCTGGAATAAGACACGTGCACTTAAAAGCTTCTGTATGGTTATCCCAAATTGGGAGGACTCAGTTAAAGAAAAAAAGGAAGAAGAAAAAAGCACCTATCTGCAGATTGAAGGAGACAGTTTGTGGTTGGCCCTGGAAGCTTTCTGGGTCGTGTTAATGTGTTTTATTTTGCACTGGCTTGTGTACTAGGTGGCCAGCTGGTTTCATCATCTGTCTGCATATTCTGGACAGTTATATTTGTGTCTCTCTTGGATGGCGATTGGTTGCACATTAAGGGGAAAATGCCATGTCATTGATGGAGATACAAGGTTAGGAAAGAAAGAACCCGAAGACCTCCATACCATGGAGAGGAACCTGGTAACAGTACGAAAGGCTTGTGTTGGTACATGATTCTTGCTCTTACTGTAACGGAAGAAGTTAAGAAGAGACTGCTAGCCTGGTTTATGTCAGGTACTCTTCCCCTCAACATCCCTTGCCCTTATTTTGAGCCTCACCCTTGGGCAAAACAATTTCTTGATTGCTCTACTCTGGTATTCCCAGCCGGCTCTCCCCTCCCTTTCACACTCCAAATTAGCCTAGAGAACTCACCACTAGCTGGATATGGTAAGAAGACAGGCTTCTACTTCTATGGATACTGGGCATAGTTTTTTTTTAGAAAAGGAATATTAGTGCTTTATCCTGGAGATTGCGCTTTCTAATGGAAATATAGTGCCCATAAGATAAAATTTAGTGTTTGTCTCTTGACAGGTGGCCTCCAAACTAATGTTTAATGTTCCGAAGGATGCTTTTCTGCCTCCCTTCTCCACTGTTTGTGAGCATCTCCTCACTGCCACGCACACAAACGGGGCTTGGCCACTTGGCATTTCCCAGAGAGGATGCCAAATTCTGGTACCTGCAAGACGTAGTACTGGTTGGCAAATGTGCTCGTATTTTTTGAGGAACACTATGTATAGCATTATTTGCCCTATCTTATTAATATACTAGGGGAAGAAAGAGACCGCTAATTTAGACCTTGTGCTGGCTTTAAGGTCTCAAAAATCTTATAGGCATTGCTTAATTTCTTATAGAGGGAATTGAGATATAGGCATATACAGTTGGCCTTCCCTATCCATCCATGGTTTTTGCATCTGCATATTTAACCAACTGTAGGTTGAAAATATTCAGGAAAAAAATCTCAAAGTTTCAAAAAGCAAAACTTGAATTTGCCATTCACCAATTACTGTGCTGAATCAACGCAAATGAAGTGATGTGTAGGCATACCCTGCTGTAGCCTACTTGCAAATACTGCAGCATTTTATGTGGACTTGGGCATCCACAGAGTTTTGTATTTGCAGTGTCCTGGAACCACTCCCCCATGGATGCCAGGGGATGACTGTACATGCATTCATAGATATACACAGATATGTGTGTATCTATATATGCTCATGTAAGTGCATATGCATACACATAAATACATGTAGCCCCTGACACATATTATCTGATCATAGTCAAGCAAGTCCTTGTGAGCTTGATCGAAGATGTAGCCAGTGGGCTGTGTTACCAGTCATCTTTCCCTTTCTGACTCTTCCTGAACTCAGACTGAGAGTTGGAAAAAACTCAGAGCATTTCCAATAAAATCTGTAGCTTGCATGTAAGAATTACAGCTCAAAAGTGCTTGCTTAAAACATTCCTGCTGGTGTGGGCTTTGGAGGGTGGAGGTGACACAGTCATTCAGAAAAGGTTTATTGAGCCCCAGTATGTGCAAGGCTTTGTGGGGGTGTAAATGTGAGAAGCAGGTTGCCCCACTCTCAAGGAGTCTTCTAAGGAAGAGCCTGACAGAGTAGCTTGAGTAGCTTGAAGTAGGAAGAGCTGAATGTTGTAAAGGGGCTCATTGGAGTAAGAGCGAGACTTCCCTGGAGATTATGAAGGAAGGCTTTCTGGATCTGCTTCTGATCTGGACAGATAGGATTGACATGGTGGCTGCAAGGAACATTATAGGTGAAAGACAAGCTTTTAAGTCTAAGAGTTCTTTTTTTAAAAAAATTATTCTGTTGAGGTAATTTGTCATAGTTGGAGTAGCTTGGTGGTTAAGAGCTTGGGCTCAGAATTAGACCTCAGTTGGAGTCCTTGTCCTGCTTTTGCTATTAGCTCTTGGACCTTGGGCAAAATCTTTAACATTTCTGATCCTGTTTTTTCATCTGTAAAGTGGAGCCAGTACTACACACTGCATAGGGTTGTCGTGAGGATTAGATGAAATAACACTTCAGAGTGCACTGAACAGTGCCTGGCATATAGGAAGAATAAGTGTTAGCTGGTTTTATTATGCATACTTCTACACACTGTGAATAGTTCTGCTCTCCAGCATCCTTAATCTTTTACCTATCTATATGAAAACTTTTCAGATATTTAAAGAGAATCATGACTTCTTTGTTTTCTCTTTTTGGTCTAAAGGTTTCCTTTTTGGTGATGGCTTCCAACTATTTGTGTGTTATGTGCATAATGTAATGGTTCTTTACCAGGAGCAATTTTGCTCCCCAGGAGACTTTTGGCAGTGTTTGGAAACATTTTTTGTTGTCACAACAGCATCTAGAGGGTAGAGCCCAGGGATGCTGCTAAATATCCTAAAATGCACCAGATAGCTCCCTACACAAAGAACTATTCTATCCAAAATATCAATAGCACTGGTGTTGAATAACCCTGACCTTCTAGACTTAATTATTAAACCTTTTCTTTTCTCTAGTCCCCAGTGGTTGGGAATAGCAGTATGTGGTCCTAAGAAAACTGTACAAGGGTTCAGAAGAGGGTGAGACACAGCTCACACTCTGTGACTTCCAGCAGATCAATTAGTCTTTTAAATAAAACTGCCTTCTTCCAATGCAGAGGGATTATAAATAAAGAGAAGAATTTGAATCCTAAAGAAAGATGATCCTGGAATGGTTTTTATTATATAGCCACGTGTAATTTTTTTCTTCACTCTTGAGGAACATAAATAATTATTGTCTCATTAGACTCTTCCTATCAGTGAGGAGGAAAAAAAAGTTTTTTTGTTGCTGTTTTACCAAAAGTAAAAAAGTCAAGATGGTTAAATAAAATAGCTGGTGAAGCTGAACATCCCGAGTGACAGAACTGGAAAGAGTGTGTAGCCAGTTCCAGCTTGGAGGGTGTGTTCTCCCATCAAACTGTGTGATGGACTTGGGTGTTCCTCATGTTGTAAAGCAGCTGTCCAAATGACTCTGTCTCTGGATTTCTCAAGGGCTGTGTCTTGCAGAGTTCAGATGAGTTAACATTTTCTTGGTAAGGTGAGGTCTAAATGGGGACAAAATTCCCCAGAATGATAATTGTTTAACGTGAGAATACAGAAATGATGGACTTGGGCAAGAGTGCTGGTTTAGTGTTAGGGCTGCTACCACCCAAGTTCCTGAGCAGGTCATGTGACCAAGCCTCACTGTCTTCCCCAGGGAAATTAGAGGAGTTTTTTGGTCCCATAGGAGTGCTATACTTGGCTTAACCAGACGAGATTCTGAAAAAGGAGGGGTAAGTGAAGTTTTAATCAAAAGAATTCTTTAAAATATGCTGAGGAAACATGCTACATAGAGGTTCTTTGAAAAGTAAAACATCTTTTGGTTAAACTGACGCATTGTTTTAGGGATCAATGTGGCTGTTCATAAATTGGATCTTCTAAAAGTAGAATTGTAAGGAAAAACTCTGTTTTTCTCCTCTACTCTCAATACTTTTGACACCAGGTAGTGGCTCTCCCCGCTCCTCCCCCCATCATGCATTTCTCTAGTTCTCAGCAGATACCAACTGGGTGTCCACAAATTTAACTCAACTCTTATACTTTCTGTATGGTAATAGCATCAGATCCCAAAAGTTAAGGACTCAGTCCCAGAAGACGGCCCCCTACTTCAAATGCCAGTCACAAGTCCTGATTGAAAGTCTGGGTCACTTGTACTTCTGACCAACCAGCTGTAAATTGGGGAATTCCACAATTCCCTCCTTGGGTCTGATAATTTGCTAGAATGACTCACAAAGCTCAGGGAAACATTTACTTACGTTTATTTGCCAGTTTATTATAAAGGATATTAAAAGGGATACTGATGAACAGCCAGATGAAGAGTTATATAGGGCCAGGTCTGGAAGGCTCCTGAAACAGGGCATGCCGCCTTCCCAGAACTTGGATTCCTTCCCTAACCTGCAAGTTCTCTCTTTGTTCAAGAGTTTTTATAGGCCTTAATCTCTGTGT